GACCCCCCGGTGCGGGGCGGGTGATATATAGGCAGCGCCGCAGCCAGGAGCCAATGGAGGCGGCAGCACCTTTTGAGCCGTTATCAGATGGGTTATCTGCCGGCTGGCGGGGGCCCCGGCCTCCAATAACCTGCTCCGTGCCCAAATATGAGGCTCAGCTCCGCTTCTGGCGTCACACACCTCGCCACGGTGGGTCGGCACCCGGATGTCCCCGAGGGGAGCCAGCCCCCACCACGGCACCCACCGCCGGCACGAGGCGCACAGACCCTTCTCACCCATGTCCCCCCGTGGGGCTGACCCTGCTGCTGGAGCCTGGCAAGAGCCAGGTCCCAATGGTGACAGGATTCACCCCAAAATCACGCAAAGCCTCCACGAGGCCGCCCTCAGCACCAGCATGGAGCAACGCCCAAAGACCCCAGCACGCTGGCACCCCTCCTTGGGGCGCTCCCCTCCCCGGGGGGTGCCTGGAGACCCCAGGGGGGGCACCGAGGTGGAAGCCACCCCCCCAGCTCACCGCGGTGTTTGCAGGTGCCGCATCCCCGGCCCCTCGCCGAGGCCAGCAGCACATGGCGGCGCTGCCGGCGCTGCCTGCAGGCGCGCCCCGCGCTCGCCTCACAGCGCGGGCAGGAAGGAGGTGGTTTTCCCCTCCAACCCTGAGGCGGGGGACCCGGCATCGGCATCGACCACACGCGGCTCCCCGGCCACCTGCAGCGCTACCGATAACACCGTGCTCCTACACGGCGGCATCTGCCCGCCGTGATGCCGCTGAGGCGGGCACGGAGCCAACCCAGTGCCGGCGGCGGGGGGGGGACGCCCGCCTGGCTTTGCACCAGCAAAAACCCCTGGGCACAGGAGGTGGAAGGGAGAAGAGCTCCCTCGAGGTCTCGGTCACGTACGAGGCCGGGGCTGAGCCACCTATGGCCACGGCAGGCGGCGGCCGCGCGGCGCGGGGGGGGGGGGGGGCGGGAGCAGGCGGCCCCTCGTCGCGCGACGGAGGGGTCCGGCTCTCGCCCTAATTTTTTTTTCTCCACTTTTTACTTTTTCCGTTCCCATTTTTTTCTC